CTGCAGACTCTTGCAAACATTTTCAGATTTAACAGAATTTTTTTTCTTCTTTAATTCTGTGTGCCCCACTTTTTAATAGTGCAAAAGCAGGAACTCGTGCACAGAAAGAATTCCTCTTGAGCCCAGGAAGACGAGTCACATGCCCTTAATTAGGGATACGGTCTAAGTACCAGTTGAACTGGGGTCTCTCAATACACCTGGAAACAAGTATGCTTTGTGCCCTGATAATCATTAACGTCAGTAGGAATTCCACAGCTAAACTGCAGCCTCTAAGGCCCCAGCAGTACCCCTTGCCTTTGCGGTTTTCCCTTGAGCAAGCAAAAAAAGCGTGCATTTGGCCCAGGCAGAAGCATCACATCACCCTAGTCCCTCTACCGGCGCCCTCGGGCGAAGGCTTAGAGGGGCACTTGCTCTATCGCCAACAATCCTAGGGTCAACACATTTTTAAATACAAAATTAGATGAAATGAGCCAAAATAGCTTCAAATGGAACTGCAGTCTGTTGACACATTCTCACATTTCATCCCTTTTTTGAGGGGGCAACGAAGATATACAGCATACAGTATCTAATAAAGTTGAGGTCTTTGCTCCCAGCTGTGATTTGGGAAGGGAAGTCCACCCACCACTGGATAAATGATAATGCAGCCTCTAAATCATGCCTAATGATACCTATAATTACTGGCCAAGAGTGTTCTTTAAAAATGTAGCAGGGTTATACTCCTCACATGCAGCTGCTTCCCTGAATTTATTCTTGTGACTACACGTGAAACAAAATAATTTTGCTTAAAAATGGTTATTTGCAGGAATAATGAGTAGAACTATTTTATGCAAGGAATTAACAAAGAATCCATCGTGGAGGTAATGATAGTTTTGTGTATCTTGCCTGGATGAGTACAGATGTGTTTGTGACAATAAATAAAAATAACAAATAAAATAAGCAGGACCGATACTGTATTTTAACTTTCATGAGCTATAAAAAACCCCACAACACAAACCAACAGCAGCTTATGTTAGTGTCTCAAAATAACAAAGAAGGAACATCCTCCAGGGCCCCTTGTGCACTGGGAACTCCCTCGTGGTCCTTCACGGCGACGGTCCCTTCCCCGCCTCTAACACTGAGCGGGTTGCCTGAGAACGCACGAGGTCACCGGGGTCTCCTTTGCCCGGGAGCCAGCAACCCGGGGCGACAGCTCTGCGGGGGGGCACGGCACAAACCAGGGGGGCGAGGGCGCCCGCTCCCGGGGGCGAGTAACTGCCTCTGTCGCGGCAGACGTACAACGGTGGCGCGCACGAGCTGCGTGCGGGAATGAAGCCAGGCCAGGTGCTAGACAGGGGGTGGCCGGCCCCTTCCTCTCCACACGTTAGCTTCGGTTTTGAGAATTTTTCTGTCAGATATAACTGGAGATCTGGCTTTACGTGGGAGATTCTGGACAACTAAGCCTATGTGGGCAAGGAAATCCTACTAGATTTCCGCAGATGACTGGTCTACTTATAAATGTCACTGATAAGGGTTTTGGGGTTGGCTTTTCAGGGGAAAGGCTGGGTTCTTTTGTTTCCTTAAGGGCTCGGGTGACACTTGATTTATTTTACTTTATTACACAGTTAATGCATTAACAAGTAGAATGATGTGATATCACTAGTTAAGGTACCTACTCCTAGTCTACAGGTGATGAAAAACAGTCACTCAAATAGTATTTGGCTTCGTGATTTAGGTTACATTAAATCTAAATTTCATAAAGACTCAGATTTCTCAGTATGATTGTGCTCTGCATCACCAGATCGGAATAAAGTGCCAAGAACTACTCCATAGAAGAATGTCAACTTTGCTTCCATTTTTGTCTTTATTTCATTAAATGGTTGATCATCCCTCTAATCTAATGTAAGAATTAGTATTTTTCTCCATAGCAAAACAAAATTTGATCATGCTATGTCTAGAAAAGCCTAGGACTGAAAAATTAAGATGAAAGAACGTACCATTTTCCCCCAAATCCTCCTAATTAACTTGAATTTCTATACTGAGAAAAGTAAATGTCTGACAGCTTTTACAGCCACATTAAAGGCATGCAATAAATATCAGAACAGAGGGGGCAACTTCTGCAAGACCAGGAGCCTAAAAAGCAAAGTTCTAATTAAAGTGGGAAGCCAAATTAACTGTCTCCATAAAATGAAGATTTTTGCTCTAAAAATCTAGCAGATGCTGAAGGGAGAATCAGATTCCCCGAAAATTTAAGAAGGTACAGGATGATTTATTATGATACATATCAGAAATTACAAGTAAACTGGAATGCCACTTGATCTGCTTTCCTCCAATGGGGAAATGAAAACACAATGATTACAAACAATTCAGACAATCCTTGTCCTGGCAAGTGAGGTTAATTCGGTATCGCCACTGGATTTCACAGCAGCTCAGACTTTGGCAGCAGAAAATGAGACAACTCTGTCGAAGTCTACAGGGGTTCAGCTCACGTTATTTAGAAATACCCTTCCCCCTTACTGTCAGTTATACGTGCTAAAGACCAGCTGGTTTGAGTAAGGTGATGCCTTTTCAAAAGATGGACTTGCTAAAAAATCCAGAGAAAGTCTGTGAATTACATAGGGCAAAATGCTGAGTTGAAACCCAAAATGTCCTTAAAATCAGCTTCCAACTGCCCAAGGCCATTGCAATCGCCAGCTTCAGCCCCGTGCTGGTGACAGAACGGTGAATGTGGCACCAAGCAGCAGGAGATAAAAGGGAAAGCGCCCTCCTCCCCCTTCAGCTGAGCCGTCTGGCCTCCTCCCTGCGACTGTTTTCCTACACTCAGATGAAGTGGGAAGGGGTCAAAACACCAGCGATGTGGTGGTTCTCTCCGAGGGCTGCAAAGCGAACTCAATGTCCAGCCACCGCCCCGTGGCTTCTTTGCTTCCTCTACTGAACAAAACAGCAGCCTAAAGTTTATGAAGTTCTTTCAAATTCAGCCCAGCAGGGTTCACACAGCCTAGATATGAAGTTGTTCTAACATCAGCTTGGTAAAAACTATCGGGATGGCTCAAAAACTGAGCAGTGTGACTCGTAAGACGGGCTGTTAATCATGGAAATTTTGCTTAAAAAGAAACAAACAGCAAAACCAAACACATCCCCCACCCCCCCCACACCCCCCATATTCACAGGGACAGGCTAACACTTTAAAAGAAAACTGTCAAATCCATTAAACGACAGTCTCATCCAGAGTCGATCAAGGTAGGCCAGCAGAATTGTGGGAATCTGTTAGATTTTGCATGAGGAGTCTGAGAACTGAGCGGGTTTTCTGATCGGTTTGGCCTAAGACAAAACCTGCCAGTTCCCACCAGCGTGGTCTGCGACATGAAAGGCCCGAGAGGTACCGTGGCAGAGATGCGCCTTCTCATCCCCGTCACTAACAGGAGAGCGTCCCACCCTCGCTCCTCTTGCTCTTCCACACACTCCCTAAAAGATCTCGTGAAAGGAGATGTTTTCTTTTGTACGTGGCTGAAGCTAATGAGGATGCGCCCTAAGCCTTGCACCCTGTAAAGCATGGAACAACTGAACTAATGCTCTTGCAGACTCATAGGTGGTGAGCAGTACGGACACAGGCTAGCTGGGCTAAGAAAGGGAAGAAACAAATTGGTTCTGCTCACAGTCAATAGTAACCAAAACAAATGCAAAGTAAACCAAGGAGGGCATAACCTCTCAGGAATTAAAGCCTCACCACCGTGAGGAGGCAAGGGATGAGGCAAGCACAAGAGATGGCACGGGGAAGTGAGGAGCCAAGGGAGGAAGCCAGGCTAAAGGGAGCAGAAAGGACGGGGCAGATCAATGCACCAAGACCAGAGATGCACTGAGATACAGCGCAGCAGGGAGACAACGGACAGAAGTCCTGGGAAACGGTGAAAGAAAACAGAAATGGACGGAATAAAGAGGAGTTGGGAGACAGAGACTGAGTAAATGACATGCACAGAGCCACTGGTTTCTTACAACCACCTGTCCTAAATCACCTTCACTTTAAACAGGAGAGGAAGAAAGTCTCCGGAGTTATAGAATGCTACGGACCAGAGGCAAGCAAGTGAAGGAGAGCTCACCAGCACAGCACATGAAGGTCAGCCCGCCAGCTTCATCATCCCAGAGACTGCACGGGGCTCCACAGTCTTCCACAGCAGCCTTCACATTGTTAAAACCCCCATCAATTTTCATTTTCCTCTTATTATCTGCTGCAGTCCAAAGACACAGCCATCGTCTGCAGAACTGCAAATCTAATATTTGCTCTTTGACAGAAGCATTTTATACTTCCCAGGGGCCAGCCATGTGGAAGCTTTTATCATTAACGTTGAACTTGTACGTGTCCTAAAGATCATGCTAACTTCCACTTAAGTTGTAATAGGTGAATAAAGGATGCCATGTGCATTGCAGAGCTTCTCAGCTTATTTCTAAACCTCTAAACTTTTTAACTGCTATTTATGTTGTACAGTAGTTCATCAGCTTTCAGAAGCTGAGAGGCCCATAATAAACATTTAAGGTTAAAAGGCAGGCATAAAAATAATTATGATACAGTAAATCGAATGGCTTTGGTTTTTTGGGGTTTTTGTAGGTTTTTTTGTTTTCAGAAATTCATGTGGTGTTACTGAGATGCTGGCTCACGTGGCTACACTACAGGACTGATTTATTTAAATCCCTTTTTAAGGATTAGAAATTGTCACAGATATTATTAACACTTGTGCCTGCAAACGTCTGAAAAGACCAGGCAGGATGCAGCTTAATCTCCCCCCAGCACGCCTCATAGATTTTTCAGTACCAGGGAGATTCTCAGTTTGGCAGCAGGACAGGCTTGCTGGACATGTTAATAAACCTCCTGGCAGATCCAAATCTGCTTAGCGTCAAAACCTCCTCGCTAAAAGCATTACCATATTGATTGGTTATCTGTCAGAAACGGAAGATGACGACGTGCAAAGTACCTTGTCCTCTCAACACTGATGTGACAGAAAATACACACAAAAATGGGCAATACTCACAGTTGCCACCTGCTCTGTTACTCCTCTGTCCCACTGAGTTCTCGGATTCTTTGTATGGAAATTGAAGAGTAGTATCCAAACTTCGGAAGCCCTCTTTGAGAGAGTGGTGCTTGTAGTATTCTACGAGTTCCTTTCAGAAAGGAAGAACACTTATGTCACTGGAAGTCGCAATCCCATCCTTTTCAACATGCCGGCGTACAGCCAGCGACAGCCTCATCACACAAGCAGCCTTATTTGATAACACAACATTCCACAGTACACGTTTGTATTAAATAAATCAAGCGTCCTGAATAGCGACTGCTTTTACACTGCCATTCAACCAGGGCTTGGGTTTTGGGTTTTGCTGGGGTTTTGTTTGTTTGGGGGGTTTTGTTGGTTTTTGTTGTTTTTTTAAGTAAACCTTACTGTCAGAGTCAACTCTTATTGCTTCTTTGAGCATGTATTCGCTTTCCCGAAGCCAGGCAGAAGGCAAGGTCAGCCGCTTGTCAAGTGTCCCATGGTAACTGTCCTGGGTTTGTAAGCACGCAGGCTATAAAGCACAAGGCTTGCATGTGAGCATGCAAGGCAACAGCAACCTAGTGAGCAGATACATGCACCACGCAAAACTTTCAAGGCCCTGAGATTAAAATTTGTGGGTGGGGTTTTTGGGGGGTTTGTTGGGGTTTTTTTTTCCAGGTATTGCAGCGCACACTGACTGAAAAATCCAGCATCCACATCCTCCTTGGGCCCAGCCAAAAAACTTGTCTTTGTGTGTGTGTATATGTGCACATATATAAACATAGACATGCACACACACACGCACACTAATTTTATATATATGCACAAATCTTATGTATATGCACACACACACACACACATATGGAAATATAAAAAGGGGCTCAATGGTTTATGTCGCCAAGGAGAGACGTTACTTCAGTCTCCGTTCTAAAGAAGGCAACACACCAAAATACTGACAAGCCCACGTTACCCCTTTGCGACCTGCAGCCCCTGCCATCGTCTTACATTTGAACTAGCCCTAGTAATGTCGATACCACAGTTCACACGCGGAGCCTAGCGTAAGCCAAAGCGACGCGGCAGTTCAAAGCAAACTTATTTCAGTCTATTACTGATACTTCATCAGTGGGATTTCACGCTTCGGAAACGCAAGCACAAAGCAATGTATTTACTGTAAACTCTTCACTCCCACCAGTAACTCAGTCATTCCATTCCACTTACTTACATTTAGATTTCCAAAATCAAAGCTGACCAAGCAAAGCTTAGGTCAAAAATAAAGAACACAGTACTATGTTCAATCATTTCCTTCTAGTTAAAAAAACAAAAAAACCACCAAACCACCAAACCAAAATTATTAGCCTGCAACAGCCTGCACCAGTGGTAGAGTGATTCCAGCCAAACAGAATGACCCTGAAGTTATTTAGTCCAAGATCAGGTGCATAAACCGTAAGTTCTTGATGACAGTCCGAAGATTATCTTAGAGCTGAACTCCGGAGCCCTTCACTGCCCACACGGGGAGCTGCTGCAGCGGCTCCTAAGGCCGAGCCCCAAGCCAGGTAAAGCCTACACCCGCTGGTGGCCATCCATAGCCACAGGCCTGCCGGGCGCTCCAAGCAAGCGGGAAGGCCAGGGCAGCATCAACTGTTGGGGCTCTGCTGTCGGGTGTCAGCACAGCACGCAAGGCAACGCCAGCGACCACATTTTCTGCCACACACCATCACTGAGTGCCCAGAAACCCAAATTACCAAAGGCACAGAGAGGGTGATGTGTAAGGAAGGAGCATTCAGAGTAGGATTTCTGGATAAATGCAAAAATAATGAGTATGAAGCTTCTGCTACCTTTTTGCACCAGGTAAGTCTGTAGGAATTACGCTGTTTGGTGAGGACAGTAAGAATTTCAACTGGACAGATTTTATTTATTGGCATAATAAAATGGTTCTAAACAGTAAAAAATCCCTTTGGGTCACAAAGGTTCAGTTGCTTTCCAGAGCTTAGTTTTTATACCATTCTTCCATGAAAACAGTCAACAAACAGCCGGCCTCCAGAGCCTTACTTGCACACGCCACAGCGGCGAGCTCAGGCGCAGGCAAGGCGGGCAAGCGGCCGCTGCCGGCAGGGACGGGGCTCAGGGCTCGGCAGGAGTCTGTCGCGTTGCCAGCACCCCCAGGAGGAGCAGAGCCGGCCCCCCGCCGCACCCCGGCCTGCGTTACACACCCAGCTCCTCTTAACTGCGCCTGTGAAAGCTTTTCGAAGGTGCCGCGAAAGCCAGGCACAGGAGCTGTTCTGCTCCCGCTACCCCCGCGCCGTACAGAGCGTCACGGCAGGTCACTGCCTGAGGTCCCCACGGCTGCTGGCTTTGCCTGCTCCCCGTTCCACTCACACTACTTCTGTTCCCCTCCTCCTCCAGACACGATCAGTTTTTCCCCTGCACCGATGCAGGACAAAGCAGTCATTTCCACAGCATATGCAAACAGCGCGTACGCTCTCACTTCTCTATTCAGCTCTCCAGGGCAGACTTGGTAACCCTAAAACTGAGTTATGAAATCACTTTTTTCTAACCGAACGCCATCAAGGCTACATCGGTAGCAATGAGGCCTTTACCCAGACATCTCTTTTGTCCTCTCGACTCTTCGACGCAATGCCTATTCTTGTTGCTCCTCTTTTATCCGAGTTTGTGTGCTGTCCTTACGTCGCCGGGCATTCAGCTCGATTCCGAAACCCGCACCAGCGCGTCAGACTGCATCACTGCCGCGGGAAGGCAGCGCGGGGCTCCAGCCCACGTCCTTTGGGATGAAGATCCCAGGAGCACTCACACGTTCCCACCAGCTCCCAGGGAATCATCTGTAGTGTTTGCAGACTAAGAAGCCACCTCCTTCACGCATTTGAGTAACGCCATGATTTCTGTTGCCACCAATATGAGACCTCAGGGTCCCCAGCCCTAACACTAAACCCTTCCCTGGTTTTTAAGTGTCAGATGAAGACATTAGGGTGCAGAGACAGCTTGGTGCATTCCTCATCAGGAAATTCATGTTCCTCCCATTCTAATGAGCACTTATTTCAATTAGGGCCAGGCAAAGCATAGATTTCTGCTTGATTTTTTACCACTTTTAGGATGTTTCCTGGTTTTAAAGCTTCTCTCCCAGCTCTTGTTTTGCACTGTCCTTCAATTTTATTTATCATTTCAGAGTACTTGGATATGCGTGCAGGAAGGCTGAAGTGTAAGTTTTAATCCAACTGATCGCACTAAATATAATATATTGAACAAGCTTCCCTTAACAATGCATCAGAAAATACTTAAGCTTTAAAATTTTATGAATGCACTAAGGCATTCTTTCAGACACCTTGGATTTACGAGTCTTGTCTGAGCAAAATGAGCTGTCATGGAACTTTTTCCGAAGTTCAAAAAGAGGAATTTCTTCCCAGTACAGGATGATTCCAACATAACATTGAAAACTCACTGGTCTGGGCAGTGACAACCCCAAATTCTTATTTCTGGGGTGACTGTGCCTACAGCTGGCATGGAAGCTAATGAGAGCGCCTATGCTGTCTGTGTTATTACCATGGTTTGCGGGACACAGTTGCTCTAATTCAGACGAGTAGGTATTGACTGCAGGTAACTGCTACTCCAGCGCGGATTTCCGAGCTCCCAGCAGCCCGGACAGCCCCACTCCCAGCCGCGCTGCTTTGCTGCTGCCCCCGGACGCCCAGGAGTGGCCGCCCCCGAGCTGTTCGGGCTCCCTGGCGCAGCTGCACCTTCCATCCCTCCCTGAGCGTGCGCCCCAACAGCACCGTCACCTTCAGCAGCGCACGCCTGCGCGTGCCGGGCTGGGCAGGAGCCGTCGCCTCGATACTTTTAGGGATCATTACTATATAAAGATCTCCAAAGACATCAAATTATCCTTTCACGATTCAGCCTAACTCCAATGGGATTCAAATTCCTCCTCTCCTCCACATCACTGCAAGGGACACAGTCCAGTCCTGAACACAAATATGTAGTTTTAAGCACATACTACCACCACTTTGAGAATAAACTGTAAATATAAAAAAATGATCCTATTAGCTGGCATGGACACAATTCCGATCTTTCGCTCTCATAGCCTTCTGTAATTTCACAAACTGAAGCAGCTCTTGCTAACAGCAGCAGCTACACAGAAAATTGCACGCGGTTAAAAAGCTCATCAAAGCTTACCATTAAATTTTTAAATTTTCTATTTTCTGCAATGTGGAAAAAGCCATCTCTTGTTAAAATCTTGATGTGTTTCACTTCGTTATTGTACCTGTGGGCAATGAATAACTTATGAATATAAATGTGGTTTTAATCAGAGACAATCAATAATTACCTGAGGGCATGCCCCAATAACACCACACGAATAAATTCCTAAGACAAAATGTATATTTGTGCCAAAACAAAGCTGACATCCAATTAACCAAATATATTTATTAAAGTGCAGCTGAAGAGGTGATCTGTATTCAGAAAAAAGCCATGACTAACTGCTCATTTTAACTGGGAATTCCCATTTATTTCTTACGTTCCTATCCATGCTGAGAAACAACATGAAAGCAAATGAGACCCTCACAATAATTTGCATCCACAGAATTTAGGAACCCACATCGCACTGAAATGTCTGAAACGCGAAGGACTTTGACAAGTTCCCCCTGAAGGCAGTGAAACATTCTCACCTGCCTCAGAGCCGCGCTACCGCGCCGCGCTCGACGCGCTCCCCCCCACCCAACACCGCAGGCACCGCTCCTGTGCTGCACCAGCGCTGCCAGCCATTGCTGCCTTCCCACTGCAAGTCCTGGGTATTTCTGTCAGCAACTTCAGCTTCCCTATATTGACTCTTCAAGGCTGTGTATGATTATGTAAATTGAGACAGGCTTTTATTCTCCTTAATTATTTCAGATACTACTTAAACATAAATGACAGCAGGCTAACTTTCGGCAGGAGATCTTATTGCACTTACTTAATACTAATTGCGTATTCTCCCGACTCTTTGGTCCTGTGCCGCACCAGGTAAGTGCTGTTCACTCTGTTAATAAGTTCACTCTCTGCTTGCAATCTTTCCATTGCTCCTGCAAACCTGCAACAGAGAACAATAAAAATTGCCTATGATTTTTTCAAAGCTACAAAAAAGGTCTAGCAATATGCAATGCAGAGTCCCAGTATTCTGCATACAACGGGGACTTAAAAATATATCAGTTGCAACTGAATATCACTGCACCCAAAGCACGAAAAGCCTCTGCACGTGTTGAATACAACGCCCGTCAGGGGAAGTACCTGAGCCTGCGCGTGAGCTGAGCGACCGCTGGCTTGAATAGCTCAAACCCACACGTCTTCCTGCATCACGTGCGGCCAGTGAAGCAATAAAGCAGTGGTCCAGAACCTTCGAGCCTCCCCGAGTTCTAGTGGGACTTATCTTAACAGAGGGGAGAATCAGCCACCAGGAGCATATTCGGTCAAAAAAAGACCTATGCAAAACCATGATATTTATAGAAACGCACTATTTGATTTGGGTTTGTAACTATTCATAACCTGTAAAGACTGCAGTGCACCAGGTAAACTAAAAATCCACAAGCAAAAAAAAAAAAAAAAAAAAAAAAATTTCAGCCTGAGGATAAGAGCTGCAAGCTTGGACAAGTCAGTCCCAGCCTCTGCAGCCTGACTGCACGAGCAGGGTTGTGCCCGTGCTCCGCTCGCTGGGCTGGGTGGGACTCCAGGAGGGGCCGCAGCAGGCACCGTGTGCTGCCAACCGAGGAGAGGACGGCGGCGTAGCTCCAAGGACATGGTGCTTGCTTCCATTTTAGAGAGTAGTCTAAAGACAGTCAACATCACAGACGACCACTGCATAAAATTTCATACTACTACATCACTACCCATTAGAAGGGAGCTTCAAATAAAAAAATATGTTATGAAACACAGCAGGGACCAGGCGTTTTGAAGTTTATCACAAAATACATGACTCTCTAAGCAAGTTTCAGCCCTAAGTCATTTTTCCGTTAAGTATTACAAATCCTTAGAAGATAAAGACTGACCACTTTCTGATTTGCTCTTTTCTAACAAAATTATAAAGAGAGCAAACGTTAGAATTCAATTTAAAGTATCATTTTAAAATATTAAACATTCCATTTGGCTTCTTGTGAAAAATCAGTATTTGATTAGATCTGGTTCCGATTTCACTTTTGGCAAACTGGAGGAAATCCAACGCATGCACATCTAAATGACAAAACATGAAACCAGTGCAAGAATACAAGTGGTGCCTATTCCGTCCTCTCCGAATCACCACGGCTCCTCTAGAAGGGAGCTGAATTCCAGGAAAGAGTTCACACACTACGTAAGCCCTTGACCAGCACTGGTCATGGTTTTGACACATTGGCCTTTTATATTGCCACAGTCTTTTTTTTTTGTCTTTTTTTTTTCTTTTTTTTCTTTTTTTTTCTTTTTTTTTTTAAAAAAAAAAAGAGATGCAGAATTATTCACAAGTCAAGATGTATTTAACATTATTCCCTTCTCTTTATTCACTTCACATGCAAGATTTACTTGCACGCTTCACAGTATACTCCTCTTTTATTACTGTATTTCAGACCTCTGGGACTAAAGCTGCGCAGCCACAGACTGGTAAACAAAGTGTCAGACCCATTAAGCACTTCATTACATCAGAAATGCTTTTAGGCAATGCACGGTGTTGCTTTCCCAAGCCATTACATGATGCCTTCTTCAGAAGCCTAGAAAGGTTCAGCCAATATAAATTAAACTGTAATAATAAACACAGTTGTCTTTCTATGGCTGCTTCTTTCCAAGAGAATCCTGTAAGAGGGACAGGGACTCACCACAGCTGTGAAGAGTAGTCCACTGGCTTAGGGACCTAGGGTGGGAAACAAGAGGAGAGAACGAGGATCAGGATCTTTTCCTCATCAACACAAATTAGACAGCACTGATCTGTCAATCTCCATATGCAACAAGTTAAAAGAAACAGGCAATATTATTAGTTTGTAGGTACATTTTCTTCTGGAAGAAGTTATAATAAAGGACAAATATTCCATGCCATTCTGAAAGCAGAACAGAATATTTTAACTCTTTGCTGCTGTCACAGATTTTTTTACTTAACAGAACCCTTAGAAGTTTTTCTGCCGGTGCCTACATTCAGATTTCATACATAAACCAGCCCAATGCTACAAATTGTTTTAAAGTACAATTAAAAGGTGCAACAAATTTACAGTAGCATCTATAGAATTCACTTCACATACGGCCTTAGAAAGACTGCCTACTAGGAAATACCGTGTATCCTCTTTGGAGAGAGTCGAGGGTGAGCCATAGCTTGTACCATCTGACATCATTCATACCTTTGGGTCTGACACGGTTAACTCTTGTGCTCCATTTTAACAAGCACGGAATTTGATTCTCAAATTCAGTTTAAAAAGTTAAGCAAACTACAATTGGCTTGCGAACTGGGTGTTAGATGTGTCCATGGAGAGGCAGGAGATGCACAGTACAGCAATCCCACCACGGTCAGCATTTCCTCTCCACCACCTCTCACCGGCGCGTGACACCGCAGCCCTGCCCTGCTCTCCCAAAACAACACCTCCAACTTGCAAAGTGCTGACAAAATTATGTCTGAAGCTCAGCATCCATCTTGCAGACTTAAACCTACTGTCATATGTTCTTAGATAAGCAAACTATTTCTTTTTTTTTCTTCCAGTAAAACCAAAGAATGTTTTCTTATTTTCTGGAATCTAACAAAGAAAAAATTACAGCAACATTCTTCTCAATTTTTTTAATTTATGATAGACGAAATGTCTTCAACAGAGATATCCAAACACAGCTCAGCTCGGGAGGATATTATCATGCAGGCCTGCAAGTGTAAGCTAACTGAAATTGAAATCAATTACAGCTCCCACTGACTTGACCTCAGCTATCAGCCAAGACCTCTGTCACGTCTCTAGATCTGGCTTTGAAATCAACTCCAGTGACGAGACAAAAAAAGCCCCCAAAAAAACAAAATGGAAAAAAAAAAAAAACAAAACCAAAACTCCAACACAAACCCCCATCTCCCTGCATATGTAATCTCAGTATTCTGCAGTTGAAGTTGCAAGAGTCAAATAATGCAGAATTTTTGTGTTAACTCATATATTATTATATTATTATATTAATTCCCCAGTGTATTCCAGCAGCATTGCTGAGGGAGTAACGGGCAGCTTTTGAATGGAAAAAAGCAGAATAGGAAGTTATGAAGCACTTAGAGTCTTTACATGCTGTGAGATATTCCAATAAAACATTCCCTGTACAGCAGAATCGCACCTTCAGTGATTTGTATTACCCCCGTAGGACTAATTAAATAACGTGCATTCTAGCAGCAGCAGGAGAAGAAAGAATAGTTAAAAAAATAAATATTCTGAATTCATCAGGTAGTCCTACTATGTTGGGACGGATATAAAAATTCAAAGATGGTGTAAGTCCACCCTTCAGAGCAGTTAACAGTAGCCGAGTCGCCCTTCTCTTTCATTTTGAATGGACAGATATACACAGGAACAAGTGGTGTTCGCTCTCACGGAACGCAGCAAAATCAAATGTTTCTCCAGAAGCTCTTGGCTCACGCCCAGCTACGGACCCAGTGCCTCTCCATGAACGAGAGAAGTGGAAGACAGCTAGCAAGAACCGCGCATCACTCACACGGCGCAGAACGCGTCTGCTGGCACAGACGACTTATTACCAAGAGGAAAAATTGTTTATAGGTGCATCTGTGAAAAGCCTGGAATGCAGATATTCTGGAGCTCGGCAGTTTTTCATTTGATATTCATTCCTAAAGTCTTTTGATGTATGCATTTTATGCTGTTTCTGGGCATTTTTATATCAGCTGGTTGTAAAGACTGTTAGATTTAATAATAACAGTAAAAGTTATAGCGTGTTTAAAACCCGATTGATGTTTCAGTATCTTTAACTGCATCATTTATCATAACACGATGTTTATATTTCATCCTTCCAAGTTATCAGTGGTAAAGCATCAATTTATCTTTTTGTTCTGATCATGACAACAATTGGTAACATTTAACAAATAATATTTATCCATTCTGTAGAACGGTGTTATTCTCAATACTCCTCCAAACAGCACATTTCTAAACTTAGCAGAAAGCTTTGTCACTAGAAGGCAACCTTCATAGCAAACACTCCCGTGGCGGTTTCCCTACCTTTGGCATCCCGCCTCCTCTGCTTTCATGTATAGCGGCGGCCGCTAAAACCTTGCTACCGTTGCTGTCGATGCCACCCTACGGCAACGGGGCGGCTCCAAGAACCTAACGCCAACCCTCAGCAGGTCCTGCCTGTGTCCAGCACAGTGACCCCACGGCACGGGAAGGCCACAACATTTACAACAAGCAAGGCGTGGGGGGAAGAAAGCTAAGGTCACCTAACATGTTCATCCTATCCAGATCTGTTCCCTCGCTCAAGCTAACATACCTTGCACCTACAAATATTCTGTGCATCAAAGTCCTGCAAATACCAGGCACTAAAGATGTCTCAAGATATACTCGTGTATTTATATTCTTTAGGATCACATGTGTATTTGTTTCAGAAACTAAGGCAGGGTATAAGCCCTAACAGCACCTCCAAACGCAGCCACCACCAACTGATTCCACCTACTTACAAACCATGGAAGTGCCTGCCTTGACTGCTGTAATGAAAGCAATTCTATCAGTAAGTCAAACTGTTGTGAATCAAGTTAAAAGAAGTTAAAGCTGTCTTAAAGCAAAGTAAGGAATACGATTCATCACCGGGTTTATGGGTTTACATCAAGTAATCTCAAAGGGACATACAGTGATCTGCAGAGGGCAGAGAATGCAGGAGCAAGCGTGCAGGACATGAATGCATCGTCACGTCTGGATGCAAAACTCTTGAGCACCCATTATAAAATAAATATTCTTATTGTTATCTTCAGCTTTTCTAGATTGAGAACATCCTGGTGTGAAATAACAGCAGGTGAGAGCCTACAGAGAGGAGGCAATTTATCGAGCAGTCTGAATTCATAGTTTTGTATTAGTTTTACTCTTATGCATATTTAACCTCACTCCTTATGGTGTAATCCCTCTCTCTAACCTGAAGTGACTGGGGAATAGATTAAAACCACAGCATCGCCACCTGACTGCTGGGGAAGGGAGAAAGTGCACTTGCACATAAAACGCGTTTGTTCCGTACTCCGGAAACTCTTTAAGACAGTTCAATTTATTAATATTCCCAAAAGTTAAATCTGCTCCTCAAATGTGTTTTCTTGACATGTCCTATTTACATCCAATAACCAAAAGTATTAGGATGCTGCACTTTAAGCAAGACTGAACATACCACGAAAACACAAAGGAACCAGACGCGCTGTGAGTTCCGTAAGGGAAGATTAATAAAGCAATGCTATGAACTAGGCAGTTTTTTCCGTGAGATGACAGACAGAATTAAACAACTGTACTTACGCATGGGCTAGGCTTGACTGCATCACTTGGGAAGAACCCAAGCTCTCCTGTTGTTAGATTTCTGCCCTAGAAAAAAAAAAAAAAAAAAAAAAAACAAAATTTTCCATTTTAGAGACGTAATGGGGCTTAACAGTAAATAATAGCATGTGTACAGGGCTGTAGGGTAATAAGAGTATATTAAAGAGTCTTTAAAATAAAATGCTGCTCTAATAAAGTGTTACTCAACAGTTGTGTGGGGTTTGTTGTGTTGTTTGTTTTTTAAAAATTGTATAATTAACAACATAAATCCCTCTGACATACGGACTTAACGTATAGGCAGAGCTCTGACACCCACTCCCACCCAAGCGAATCTCATTTACAATACTAATCTTACCTGAGTAGCGAGTGATATCAGTCACTGAATAAAATAATTAATGAGGAAAAGCACCTGAAGAAGCACAACTGAGCATGAGTTTTGTAGGTGCCCACACACCACCGCTATTCACAAGAAACCTTTGCATGAGGTCAGAGCAGCTGACCAAGATGACACATGATGCAAGGTGTGTCCACAACAGCCAGGAGGCAGCCACAGATCACACTTTGACGAGCTCAGGGACCAGCCCCTGTGTCACCTGAGAGTGCAAAAAGGGACACATTTCCAACGGGCAGCAGTGCCTCAGGATGTTCATGGTGCTTCCTCCCGCAAGTCAGGAACAGTCTGGGCCCTTGCAGGGCCCTCTCTTACTGCTTCTCCAGAAATGTATTTGCACACCGTGAAATCTAAAATGAAAGCTAGCTTTTGATTTGCAGACATTTCAATCTTCAATCTGCACTGAATTTTAGCAAACTGAGCTGTTCTATACCCTCAAGTAAAAATTAAAAAAAAAAATAAAATAAAAAAAAGCCACATTACAGCCACTGAAGGAACTGTAGCACGTACAGAAAGACCAGTCCGTGGGACCATACGATGTAGAGCCAGCATTGCATTGCCTGGCTTAGACACTGCTAGCAGCACACAGCGATACAAATCACAGCTTGAAAACCCAGCAGAGCAGCAAAGACTCTGAGATCGCTGTGGTCCACGCTGGTGAAATCGTTACCACAATGCAGACGTTGTATACGTATACATGTTCAGAATGAGGAACCTGAACTGCAGTCCACAGGCTGCACTGCAGCGTATGCGTGCACTGTAAGTGATCTGCAGGTAACGAATCAACAGCACTTGCAGCAAAAAATGAATCATCTGGAGGACACTGAACGTTCAGTGAAATGAAGCGGTGAGAAACGACCTCGTCGGCAGGCAGACTTGTGAGAGGTACAGCACCCAGAGCACTCCCTGCCCAAGCCACGATCCCACAACGGCTTCAGGCGTCACCGCCTGTGGGAGATGCCACCGCGTGCAGCTCTGCTTCACGGGCCAGGCGCGGCTGAAGGCGAGGAGCGCGCCCCGTGGAGAGCACACCAGGACCCCCGCGGAAGCAGCAGGAGAGAAGTCGCACGGACAGACCCTCTCATCACACAGAACATCCCCAAGGACTGGGACCAGGACAATTGCTTTGCATTGTGAGCAATGCCAGGAACGTAACAAGCACCAAGACAACCCAAGAAAAGCTTTGTCTTCTCAAGACAAGCTTCACAAGGTAACTGCAGATGGCTTTGTTCGATAAGTAAAAGCAAACCCTGAAACAGAACAGAGTTGGATTTATTACACGTTGCTGAAGGGAACAGCTCACTTTAAAATGCTCTGTCAGTAACGAACTCGTATGAATAATTAGACAATGTCCTTCGGAGAGCGGGTTGTTTTGTTTACGTTGGAAATCCTAGCTGAATTCATCAAAGCTCAGTGTCATTCACACGCAGAGCCATGACCTGTTGTCAGATGGGGATTTCAAAATTTAAGATCTATCCATCAACTCATTAACAACAGCAAAATTATCACTTACACTAATCACTTCTTTCTGCTCCACGTTTCCTGCTTGCTAATTGCTTGGGGTTTGATGAGTACGCGTCTCCCTTGGACATCGCCCTGCAGTGACTTGTGGCCATTACAAAAGCAGACACAAAGGACTGGACAGAACGAGTTTTAAAGTGTGTATTATGTACACACTATTACAGTGCATTTTTAAATTATTATATTATACATTAAAACACATGACACGTATGTGTGTGTACATGTGCATACATATTCATATATATAGAGGCCAATGAGGCCCTTCCGTCCCTGTCCTTCGATGACAGCCTCAGCAAGGCTGGGGGCCGGTTCACCGCTCTTGTACCTGTTCAATGCGGGAGATTTGTGAAGCCAGGTGACACATTTGCTCTGAACCTCCAGACCGTGCCTGTTACGTAGCTACGCCGTGCCCATTGGCTTCATTGCACGCGCACAGACCTGGAACTCCAGGATAGCCAAAATGTACAGATTGCCACGTCCTTCACTCGTGTTCATTTTGTTTACTGCAAAGTGCGGTGCAGAGAGGAAGGAGACATGAAAAGTTACAAACCAAATTACAGACCAAAAGGAAAAAAAAAGGCACTTTCAAGAGGCATTTTTACAGTGCTGCCTCCCCAGTGTTTCAATTTTATATCATAAGTATATTTACAACACACTTTTGGCTGTTGACGGCAGGACGACTAACTACCGAAGCATCAGACAGTACAGCTGTAAGAGCTGTTACTTGATATGGGTTTAATCTGCATCAAAGAAAACCTGGTTTTGAAAAAGGGAAGAACCAGTCCAGGAAATGTCTGTATTCTTTTGGCACAGTTGAGAAACACGACTGCCGAGGACGGCGGGGAATCGCAATGCAAACCTGCAAAACCAGAACTGCGCCCTCTCTGACGGCAGGCACCGCGGCACCCCTGAAAGCCTGCCCTCGGGTGATGCAGATGCAAACCAAACTCAGCAGAGGACAGAAATATTTGCATCTGTAACAAAAACGTGACTACTTCGAGGCTGCACGACTACAGCTGGAACAACCGCCAGTGGCCTGGGTAAGGGGTCTGAAACTTCCATGTAACACCAAGCTTTCTCTCCTCTCCCGGCCCAGCGCCCGTTCCTTACGGCATCGTGCAGGTGGCGTTAGCCAAGCACCCGCTCGGCAGGCGGCACGGCTCGGCTCGCCCCAGCCCTCGATGGAGCACAGCAAAGCAGTCGCGCCCCAGGGGGTGCACCGGTATCGGCATGGGACCATCCTCCTCCTCACACGCAGCCAGGTGCTTACCGAGGGAGTTCAACAACTTGTGACCTACCAGCCCCCCTGTAGGAAGAAGCCCCCCCTTCTCTTTGAAGAAGGGTTTGGGTGATAGCAGTGAAGAGACAGCAAGCAAATTAATGGAATCGCGAGACGCTTCTCCCAGCCACCTTGCTGTCCCCGTGACTGCTCAGCTTGCCTCTCAGAAGAGTGTTTGCTGTTTCATAAAGAAGCAGCTCCACGCTTCTCCTGTCTTCCAGGCTGTGTAACAAGTAAGATTTCTATGGGCATATGGTCTTGGACTACTACAGAACTTGCCACAATAACTGCTACACGACCGTTCAGACATTAACTTAGCAGAATGTTCATGCCCATCAAAACACGGCTGATGGCATTTAATCTATAGCCTAAGCATTGCTTAGTAACAGGCCTGGTTTGTTTGATGGACTGTAAAGAACAAAATAATCATGCTTAAACCACACATACTTACCTATTACAAGCACTTGCACTTCTAAACTGAGCAACAGTTGACTTAAAAACCCATCCCAGTATCAGTCTGGCAGGTCAGCGGTAAATTACTCTAAACCACTGCTTGAACAAAACTTACAGATTTTAACACAAATTGTGCTTTGTGGGTTTTTTTCCTTAACATGCATTTTAAAATGCAGATGCCATTACAAGACTTATGAAAATCTGTATTAAGCAGTCTGTGATGAGACAGCTTGCAAGAAAAAAAAAATGTCCTGAATGATGCTAATGGAGATGCCAATTTGCATTAAGATTCAAATCTGTTACTGAGGCTTCTGGGAAAAAAGCCTCATGTGCTTTCCAGCTTCTGCTGGCTAAACACAGTGAGATTCTAGCTAAATTCTTTAGCATGATAGGTACAACCAACATCCGAGACAAAGCCCAGTAGATTGAGTTGAGGGACGTATATGAACATGGCAACAGAATCAGTCCCACGGGGTGCCAGCAATCCTGGCTTGTCCTCAGCGTGTCAGTCGGACGATCGCCTTCTAGCCAGTCCCAAAACAAGAGCATGCTTCAGTGATTCTCAGGATCAGAACTCAAGGCCTGGCAGAACCAAGCCCTACATATAAAACTGCATAGGCCAAAATCTGCCAACCAACATCTGAGAAATTAATTTCTAGTGATGTGAAATATCGATGGTCTGCTAAATAACAGGTTTGGTGGGTTGTGGTTGTTTGTTGGGGGGCGTTACAGTTATTTACATATTTTTAAATAGATAAAGCCATGCTATTGTTTATGACTCCCCCCCGGTTAAATATTGTTCAGGATGACGCAGTGGCATAGGAACAGAGTTCACTGATTTCAGTCCTGGAGAGTTCGGAGAAGATTCAACCCTAACTCAAGCCAGCAAAAAGCCCTATGACCTAACCCACGTAACAGCCCAAGCAGCTTTTATAATTATATTCATTACCTTATTACAGCCCCAAAGAAAAAAGAAAATCACAAACACAGGGACGACAAATCAAGACGACGGATGCTTCCCAGTTGTTCTATTGATATCCTGAAAGTTCCTCTGTTCAGCTCTATTTCCCTTTACCCAATGGTACCGGTAGCACATAGGATTCTAGTACGAACAATTAAGAGAACAATCAAGAAAAATGAGACCTGCTTTAATGCCTTTATCTTTAAAGTGAATGCAAGACAGCATTTTGAATCTGTTTATAGTTCTCAATTAAACAGAGATTTCAGTAATGGTAATAGTGATGTAAATCACATGATTCTGAATTTTGCCATCGATAGAAGATACTTCTCCCGTGTGCATACAAACTGCCCTTAGCTGACTTGAGAGGTCATCGAGCACTTTAGGGTGGTTCTGGTTTGCAGAGCTATTTCTCTCCCCTATAACTCTAATATTCATTACTGGGTTCGCCAATAGAGCTTTTAGTTCTGCTACGTTAAAAGAAGCAGTGCCTGAAAGCTCACAGATGCTCTCCTTAAATCCTATCATTTCAGTAGAAGGATTGCTACCAACGCCCTGTTCTTGCCGGTTTATTTACCAGGACTCTTACCCTAAGGCTGCAAAAACGAAGCTTTACACAACAGAGGAACTACTGGCACTTTAAAAATAAAAATAGTTGTGTTAGACACATATTGGGGTAAAATACAAAGATATTCCTCTGTTGTTCAAAAAGGAAAAAAATGACAAGAGCAATATATCAATAAAAATTTGCTATCTGTGACTAATGGAATATAGCCACTTGCTGAATGAGACAGTACCTGCCAAAACAAGCTGTGTGCATCTCCTCTAATGAGCTCAATTGTGTCCCCAATCTGGATGTGCAGTGGTGGACCATCCTGCGGCGCTGGCTGCGGTATTCCATTGTAGTTTCGAATGACCTGCATTTTTGGTAAACCTGAACAAACAAAACAAAACAAAACAAAACAAAACAAACAAACAGAAACAAAACAAAAGTCAGCATATATTTCAGTTAATGTCGATTTATAAAAGCAACCGATCAACCCGTAGGCACTATGTCCTTAACAGGCACCCGACTAAGGCCCCAAGGCAATGCCTTCGTACTGTGCCACGTACGACCTAATAGAGAAGAACAACTTTGAAATAAACATCTTTGTCCTCCCTTCTTGGAGTAAAGGTGGTTTCATGTCTATGGAGGCTCTTTGCTCTACATGTGCACCCCTGGCTCTGCGTAAGGTTCAAGGATGAAGGCTATCTTTGTAGTTCAAGGCAAAAATTGGGATAAACTACTATTAAAGACACCAATACGGATAATCTCATCAGCTCGAGATCAGTATCACCAAAAAGCTGATGTAACCGTGTCCAAGACGGCAAGGATGACAAACCTCCCAGGCTTCTCCTAAGCCTTTGTCTTCTCTCAGGTTTTGACAATATTTTCAGATACACGTCGCAAAGCCTGGATCAGCTGGAAGTTTCATTTTCAAGACAAGAACTCCAGCTGCACACTAGCCCTTTCCCATCAACATTAGCTGCATCCAGGCAGCTGATCTGTAATTCTTTATTTTTTTAAATGGAGCGATCCACTTCCCAAGACACAAAATATTTTGGCCAAAGATTGGTGTCTCTGCCTGTACAAAGAACTAAATCGCTGTTTGTAACTGCAGTTCAAGAACCCTCCACAAGCTGTATCAAACGGAGGGCAGGGGGAAGGATTTCAGCAAGAAGAGAAAACTGTGGGCACAGTAACTCCAGGTTCTTGTAACTATAATAGCGTTTTTAAAAAACGACTCTAAAGCATTATGGACGGCACTTAAAGAGTGTGCTGCGGTATTATAATACTTGAAATCAAATGAAGTGCCACCCACTCCATAACAAACATAGTAAAGACTTTTAGAAAAGCATTTTTCCCACTCTTTATACTGCCAAGGAAGGCGTCATTTTAACAGAACAGAGCTATTTTTAATTACTGTCCCTCTGTCTTTAAATAAAACTTTATATAATATCTTTTAACTACACATAATAAGTTCTAACTACACATGGGACGTTAAAAATTGCTACAATTAAGTGGGCATATCCATTTATAATCTTAACCAGAACATTTTGGGTTAAGTAAGATTTGGTAAGAATGTGCATTAATAAATACAAGTAAGAGCGAAAGCATGCGAAGTCAAGGTAGCTGGGCTGCCACATTTAACCAGGTTCTTGCTGGAGAGTCATGATGAACTTAATTCTAACCACAAAGGACCAGCAGCCCTATAAAGGACCTATTTCTGCTGCAAGATCGCTACTGTAATTTAGGTTGCAAGAAATACAAATATTCATGATCTCCTCGAAATTGTATGGAACATGAAAGAGGTCACCTTCAGTAATTACTGCTCTGTATTTAATAAATACTAATCCAAAGTGCTGATGAAATGTTAAGCAAAGTAATAACAACTCTTATGTTACTCAACCCAAATGACACCATAACTTTCACTATTTTTCCAAGTTACCTGGCGTACTTAAAACGAGCACCTAATCATTAGTAAGCCACTATTCCACTGCGGCAAATACCAGACTGAGCTTTACTTCTCAGCCGAAGGCCGTCATGCTTTCAGACACCGATTCAGCACCAACAAGGGCTGCATCTCGCGCATGGCAAATAGAAGCAACGCTGCGTACACGCATCTACTCAAAGCTGACAACTTTGCCCTAACGCAAGGGAACTCCCTCATCACTACATAAATGATAGCTCTGCAAATGCCATAAACAAACTGCAAGCACGCACTCATCTTGGAGACATACTTACAAAACAAACGCACGAAGAATTGTTCATGTCATGAAACGGGCCGATTTAGTTTATCACACTTGTAGTGGGCAGATCCAACATACTGCAAATGCCACATTTGTATGGATCTCATCAGACGATAGTCAAGAAATACTCTCATGCACTTTTCAGTGCAAATCTGGGGTTTTTAAAGAGACTATACTTCTGAAACTCTCAGTCATACACGCGTGTAAAATCACTTCTTATTTCTGTTGCACTGGTAATCACAATTATTGGCATCTTTGAAAAGCAGGCCAAGGGAACGTGCAAAAAAAGCCACGCTGTGTCAATGAGCAGAATTATTCAAAAATAACACAGAATTAATCATGTTAAAACATATCACGCCTAGAATACTTGTGTATAATTCAATACGCTTAATTCCATAAAATCCTACAGCAGTTTTGATTATAAAGTTCCCTTGGCAGATACAACGTTGGAAGGTTTGATCTAACACCTCCTGACATCACTAGAAATAATCCTATTCATTTAAATTGGCTTCCACGTCAGGGTCTTGGTCCTAAAGTCCATTATCTTGCTTCAGATCCCTCCTTAAAACCTCTTTGCTGTAACGCCTACAGAAACTGCGACAGCTACGGCGCTGACGTGCTACCGCTGCTTTCTACTATGGTGACCAACACATCTTATTCTTCTACTGCAATTCCACCGCCTATTTTTATGCAGCTGTGGTCTTCGGTCTACCTCGATCTTTGCGCTCAGCGCTGTCCCCGCTATGCATACGCGCTGCCTAGCGCAACGTACGCGCGCTGTCACCAGAACCACGCAAACCAGCCTCTGGAACGGGAGGGATAATGGCGAGGATTCCCTACGCTGCAGTAATACGGAGGAATATTGCGATTTCATTAATTACCTTCATTCACCCGCTTTAGCAATGATACTGTGTGCTCGCTTCAAGGCCACTGACCAAAGACGCAGGTATAAACAAGGGAAATTACTTTCTGGTGCTAATTATTTAAGCACACATTAGATCTGACCCGGATCACAAAAAGGACTTTGTACCTCGAAGCCCAACCACTGAAGGTAAATTCACTCTCCGGCAGCAGGAGTGTCCGAGTCACAGAGATCGCATTTGTTCCGGCATCAGCCATACCGGACATGCGGAGACCGCCTGCACCGATCACAGGTGGAAAAGCAGTGAATGTGCAGCTAATGGGCTTTACTCGTCCTATGAGAATATCATCAAAAGGACCTGTCCCTCTCACGTGATTTTAAACATTTTTTAAAATAATTTTTTTTTCCAGGAACAAAAGACTGAACGAAACCTTTGACTTAGTCAGAAACAAGCACAAACTGTTAAGCACAAACTGTTCTGGAGTAGCTGTTTTCCCATGGGTAAATGTTCTTCTTACAGAACTCCCCATATATCACCACTAAGCATGGAGGAAATAAATGGGGTACAGAAAAGTTAACAGATTGAGGTAAAGAGCTCCAAACAGAATACTCAACTTCCTTCTCACCATTTAGTTACAGATTTGATATCGCAGCTCAGAAACAGCGCAGCACATCAACACCGCGATGGTGTGCGTTTAATTGGACAGAACCTGGTCAGCCCTGAGGTGTGATGGATCAAGCCCTCCACCCTTATCTCGGGGAACCGCTTGTGCAATCTTCCACCAAGCCTCTCCTAAAGCTAATTTGTTTGTTGCTACTGCTCATTTGAGAACTTTATTCTCCCAGCACTTAGAATCTTCTGCTTCCCAGTGTACAGCAGCGCATGGCCAGCTCACACCCGCCTAGAGGCAGCAGCCTGGGTAGTTCTTGCCCTTGCCAGTGCTGTTTTTCCACGCCGCAGTCGCAGACAGCACTCATACCCCTTTTAACCTTCGCTTTGCTAGGCTCAACGAGCCACGTTCGTTTAGCCTCCTCTCATAACAGATCAAATCCTCTGAGGCACTGCGCCAACTGCTTTACTGAAGTTCAGGCAGACAAGATACGGAATATTTTCCTTATCTATCCTGAAATTTCATTCTCAATTGGCACATGGATTCATCACAAATACACTCGTTAAGCACCCTGAGTACTTGCTGTAATATAATAATGCAGACAAGAAAAAGCAGGATGCTACAGAAACCTGAGATGTTTTGCCTGTAATTACGGATGATTTGTGACAGGAATGGTATAGAAACATTACGCATTAATGACTAAAATGTGCCATATGATAACGGTAAGCATTACAGGCACCGCCATCGCGATGTGCATCACTGCGTACGGAGGGCATTGACAACTGCAGAAAACTTCTGGGAACCTATCTGCCATAAAAACGTTATTCCTGGATATGTCTAAAAGCAGATAAAATGCCAACACAAAGGACAAGGTGAGTATTTCAGCCACACATTGACACTATTCATGGCAAAAATCCCACTGGCTTCCATGAGGTCAGATTCCCACAAGACGGAAAGTTTTTCTCAGGAAACTTCCTAATTTAGAGGTGCAAAACCAGCCTGGCAGTTTCCAGCCTTGAAATCAAAAAGCTAACTGACCCAGTTATTCCAGCAATAGACAGCTGACATTTACTTCGCTTGAAACCAGGAAAACCCCCAGATTCCTAGCAAAGTCCTCCCAGCCAAGCTCGGGGTCACAGATCTAACACAAACTGACAATCTAAATCGTAGCTCACAAGAAAACCAGGAATCGCGCGAGAGCCAGGGTTTACAACGTAAACGTTACAGAAAAATAAAACCTTTCACAAACCACACCACACGTTTGAGCATTTCATCTCATGGCTGAGAGTCACAGAAGAAGGTTATGCTGTAGAGAGCACATCATACATAATGGGTGAGAATGGCCATTCTGTCTGAAATGGCAAGAACATACGAACTACAGGTACTGCTTACAGCAGCTCTGCAGCTACGAACAGCACCGAAGGACCCTCAGAGTTTCATGCAGAGATGCAAAAACGTTATTTTTTGCTAACAACATGCATAATGCATGCCCCGTGATGACCTCTATCTGTCAAAATTGATTCGAGCATCTGCTATTTCCTAACAACGCAGAACGTGGTTTGTGCTTTGGGCAGGGATGATTTCAACACACAGAATAATGACACGGAGCATAGGAGACCGGGGTTCAAGGGTGAATTTGTGGGTACACGAGACGCTGTTAGCACAGAGACG